TTAACCAAATAAATCAAATGCGATTCACAAAATTTTCATTCCAAAAATGCGAAACTCCAGGGACAATAATTGAAATCTTCTGTTTTCTTCCCCAATTCGCATTCTACTGTGAAATACTTCGCATTTTCATTTTTACACCTTTCGCATCCCTTCGCATTAATCACCTTCGCATTTTAACCAAATAAATCAAATGCGATTCACAAAATTTTCATTCCAAAAAAAAAAAATGCGAACACAGTTTAGTTCATGAACTCTAAACTTGCGAAATCAAAAATTCATATGTTGAACCCATATGCGAATATTAACCCAATTGACTTCAAATTGATTCATAGATGCGAACACTCGATTGTTTTACTTTCGCAAAATGAGCATCAACAACTCCACAATCGAGTTTTTAAATTCTTGCAAACAACAGTTTCATAGTCCTTGACTTCGCGTTTTTTCTTCACGAATCATCCCTCAATCATCAATCCAATTGCGAATCAAAACTCATATGTTCTTGCTTTATCGATTCATCGACTACACTCATACAAATGCGAACAATACTCAATTTCAAAATCGATTGAAACTTATAGCAAAGCTAAATCCAACTTCGCATTCAAAGCAGTGTCATTGATCCGCAGTCACAAGCAACCACCCCACACCCACTCTATGACCAGCCATACCTCCCCACCTTACCTATGTCACTTCAATGTTCCCTTACACTCAAATTTCACTCACTCCCACGTTTTTGAGCTGGAACAATCAACCACACTCCTCATTTTCTCTCATTTCTCTCATCCCACTAAGTAACAAACATCACTCTTTCTCTCAAACTCTTCTACACAAATTTTCGAGATCCAAGGCTGGATTCAAGTGTTCTTCCACACTTAGTAAGTAAAAATTCATCCTCCCTATTATTATTTCGCTTCATTCTACTCAAATCTTTGGTTGCTTACACAAACTCCCTAACTATGATGTTAGATTCTCGAAAACCTTCAAGGCATCTCCAAGTGTTCTTGAATTAAACACTTCCATTCTTCAACAATCATCTACTGAAATCACTCAAGGTGAGTTCATACCCCTACATTTTCATGATTTCTCAAGTTTTCAGGGGGTGAATACAAGTTAAAACACTAAGAACCTATCAAAAGTTTTCTAACAGCCTTCATCAGAAAAGTTCAACTCCATTCACGGACTGTTTTGGGCATCTTACACATTTTGTTTTCAAAACTGTACAAGGTGCAAATAGTTCAAGTTTTTAGCTTTAAAATGGCTACTTGCACATCTCCATACGATTTTTCTACAATTTATGGCGATTTTTACAAAACTGCCTATCACTTCAAACAACAATCCGGACCAGTCTGTGATTATGGACTTTTTCACCCAAGTTAGAGGTCATTATAAATTGTGATAAAAATTATGAGCAAACTAGACACATTTTGTGAACTCTCAGAATTTACGGATCTAGTTTTCGACTTCGTATGATTTTTCTATGATTTTTCCAAAACAGGGCAGAATTGCTAAATTTTACCAACAACATGTAAATATCATAACACTTTGTATTATGTTGAGCAAAGTGTATAATCATAAGTTTTAATGTTTGAATGTGTTTCCTAGTTAGTTTATCATTATGAACTGAAACTAAGACATTCATATTAAATATTATCCATTCATTTTGGAACACGTATTATTTAACTATAAAAAGTATAGTTTGAATATATTTATAACACTAATACATTTCCATAAAAGGGTTCATACATATTATACACATTTTAGATAAACTGTAATAGGTATGGTTTATGATACATCACTCTACGCACTCGTACCAGAAGTGTACATTCATATAAGAAAGATTTCTATTCGCACACATTTCACGTAAGTTAATCTATGGTTTGATAAATTCACAACACTAATACATTTCCATAAAAGGATTCATACATATTACATACATTTTAGATAAACTATAATAGGTATAGTTTATGATACATCACTCTGCGCACTCGTACAAGAAGGGTACATTCATACAAGAAATATTTATATTCACACACATTTAACGTAAACTTGTTATCCTATATTGTGAGTTTCTCTATTTCTCTCTCTCTCTCTCTCTCTCTCTCCCCGTACGTCCGAGTGCGGGAATATAATTCCTGGTAGTTATAATCAGAATCTCCTTGAGGGAGAACGTGATACTTGTATATAGATCTATATTGGGATTGACACCCCACACCTTGCTGCTAGCTACAGTTGGACCTGCAGGTCTACGGGTGACAAATGTCATTTTATTTTTCGCGACACTGAGAACGTCGTGGCAGGTTCACATAGTCATAGTATGATTATAACGGCTCACATAGGGAACAATCCATAAGTTTACGGGATTTTATTTTTAAAACCTAAATGAGTTTTATGTCGATTCAAAATCACCTTTTTATCTCTATGAGTACAGATATTACTGTACACTTTTGGTTTTGGTAGTTACGACTACACATCATTTGAAACCACATTTACACTTTTAAGTATGGTCAATACTTGTTATTACTCGGTCCTCTAATTTAGGACTACGTATATATAATGTATTAACAAACCTGAGAACATATAGAAATTTCATTTAGTTCAAACATGTCCATGTCCATTTAAATACATAACATTTTCTATTAATAAGAAAGATTACTTATACATTTTGGTCTTCAGTCATAAGACTACCTTACACAGATTTTACAGAAAATATAGGATTTTCTGGATACATATTCTGACGCTTTTACAAGGAAAACGATTTACTTTTCTAACGAAATCTCTTATGAACTCACCAACCTTTATGTTGACACTTTTCAAAACTACTTGTATTCTCAGGAATTCAGTGAAAACAGGAAATCAACAACGTTTTGAGGATGGGACGATAAATCGTCAAACAGTTCATTTTGTATTATAATGTAATTGATGTGAATCATGTAAACATGTGCTTTGATGTAACGTTTTCAATTATATTTGTGTTGGTTGTATTTACTTTGAGCACTATTATACTCATTGTTGTGATACTCTACATGAAGTCCTCCACCCCCGGACGTTTCCGCCATCCTTGGTTTGGGGGTGTGACAGATTGGAAATGTGTTCAATTTTCTATTTCACAAAAGTAAGAACCATAGGTAAACATTGTGTGCATGCTAGGAGCATGGGACAAGTGTAATAATTCGAATAAGAAGTTGATTACCTGAAACGACAAATAATGAGTAATCGATATGGTGATAAATAAAACGTGTTTTATTTATGCTCAAAGGGTTGAGGCCATATGGGATTAGTATTATTCTTGTGTTTCACTTTGCATGTTTTGACTTCCAGAATAATTGAGTTTATTAAGAATAATCGAATTATTCAAACGGGCCACAGTCGTTCATATGTTGGAAGTAGATATGAATGAAGACTGTCGTGAATTGGTGTGTGGATTGTCTAAAAGAGTATTAGACATAAGCAAATGTTTGCTGCAACATTCATGAGTGCTTATGAATATGAATTTGAGCATTGGCAAAGACCCGGCAGATCACGATCATCGGGGATCAAAACAGGAAGACTACAATCTGAGTTCAGAAAACTGCGCGCCACTATAAACCCCATCATCTCATGTACCGGTGACTCAGAATTATACTACTATTCCCGAGACCAACTCTCTTTCCAGAACCTTATCACCACTCGTGAAGAGGAAAGAGAGAAAAAGGGTAGGACACACAGCATTCAAAGAAAGGATGATTGTAGCCAAGCGCTGATTGGCAAAGCTACAAAACTACATCGACCTTGCCTCAGGCATCACAAGGGATGGATCATCGTAAGTAGAGTTCGTACCGCTCACCAGACCTGGTAAATTAACTTCATAAGTATGTGCTGGTGCTACTCTATTGTAAGTGAAATCGCGACACAACAAATTAAGTGGTCATTCTAATCGAGAAATCTATCCTCTATCAAAACCCGCCCATGCACGAATGTGAAGTAGACCTGCATTGAGGTCAAAAATTTTCACTGAAACCATGATTTCTAGAGTCATATTAACAAGATGGGCTTAGGATGTACCTATCAGACTCGAAGGACTAACTAGCCTTAATTATATAACTAAGCACACATCAATAGGTCGTGATAAGGACTTAGCTTGGGTCAAGTATAAGGTTTCACTTGAATACCGAACTACTAAAATACATGAGTTTATTATACAAAGAATCTCATTATAATTGTTTTCAGAACACCCTAAACAACCGAACTTTGATACAAATCGATATGAGATAAACTTAGTTAGAAAACTCGCGACATATAGCCATTCTATAAACTCATTATCGTCTCACCCTTTTAACATTAGTTGAGAAGTTTCTTCTTCATAGACCTATGGGTGCTATCATACCAGCACTAATGCACCGGAATCCCATCGAAATTCCTCAGCCAAGGTGTTCGGACGAACATGATTCTAAGAGGAGTAAAGCTTAACGTCCGTATGAAACCTACTCCTACCTACTGCCATAACTCTATCTCGGGAGCGTTAGCAGAGACACTAAGGATAGTACAGTAATGTGCAAAAATTTATATGCGTAAATATAAATTGTAAAGATGCACTTAAGACAATCATTTCCACTAACGAAGTCGTTTTTCGTCATGAAACAGAGCTATGTCTCCACCAAGAGGCAACAAACCAACTAGCAAGACACCAACACTTCAGATAGACGCTGCTACATTTCAAGCTGCAGTCACGGCAGCCGTGGCAGCCGTCATGGTGCATTTCAATACTAACAACATCAACAAGGGTGGAAGCGATACTTGCAATACAAATTGTGGTAACAATCAGGGACACCAATGGGTACCTACCATCAAAAATTCATCAGGCCACGAACCTTCGAACAAGAAGAGAAAGTTTTGGGACATGAAAAAGCGCCACCAATCAAAGGGATACACTAAAAGACAACAGCCTAAGGCCGCCTCTACCATTACAACAACAG